TCGGCGCGCCCGTCGACCCCCGCGAGCCCGAAGAGTGCCACGCGGGGCCGCCCTTCTGGAACTGGTGGCTCCGGTTCCGGAACTGCGTCGTCACGAACGCGTGCCTCCGCCGCGGCGTCCTCACGCTCCACAGCGGCGGCGGCGACCCGGCGTTTGGGCCCCTGCCGCCGCGCCAAGCCGGCGCGCCGCCCCCGCCCCTGGCCTGCAACAACTGGGGCCGCGGCGCGGAGTGCTACGGCGCGGTCTACGCGCGCGGCGCGCCGCCGGCGCCGGGGCCGCGCGGCGACGGCACGCTCGTCCGCTGGTTCGACGAGCCGGCGCTCCACAGCGCGCGCATCCTGCCGGGCCACTTCGGCCACGACGTCCTGAACAACTACCTCTACGCGCGCGCCGGGGCCCGCGCGCCTTTCGCCGCGCTTTGGAAACCGCCGAAACCGCCGCAGGTCTTCAACACGATGTGGGAGGCGAACCTGACGCACCTCCTCGACGCGGGCTCGCTGACGCACGTCGTCGACGACACCGTCGCGTCGCCCTTCGGGGACCGCCTCGTGCGGTCCGTCGCGTACACGCCGAACCCAGCGCAGGACAAAAGTGATGCAACGTCGCTTCAACGTGAGGGTTCCGCGCGCGATTATTCCGAAAAAAACATCCACGCTTCGAGAGCGCTCCGAGAGATGATCGCTCGTCCAAGAATGAGCCGAAACGAGTCGAACATGGCCGAGATCGGAGCCTTTGAAGTTGGGAATTTCGCACTCTTTTCCCGCCCAGGCCGAACCAGCGCCGCGCGGCCTGGGCGAACGAGACGTGGTGCTTCCGGACGGCCTTCCTCGGCAACGCGCACACGCACGGCGCGGAGCTCGTCTTCCACGCGCGGTCCGCGACGCGGGCGAAGCGGGCCATGTGGCGCGACTACCGGGACCTGCTCGTGCGCAAGTTCTGCCCGGGCTGCGCGGCGGAGTTGGCGGCCGCGGCCGCGGCCCGGCGGCCCCTCGCGAACTCCTGCGCCTCGCGGCGGGGCGCCTACCGCATCCTCGTGGCCGTGCGGACCCACGACCCGGGCTCGTCGAGCTTTTTATTCGCGAACGGCCGCGGCCGCCGCGTCGTCAACGTCGACGCGCTCGTCGCCGCGCTCGCGCCGCTCGGCGACGTCGAGGCCTTCGACCCGGGCCTGCTGCCGCTGGGCGACCAGATCCGCAAGGCGGCGTCGGCGGACGTGCTCGTGAGCCGCATGTCGAGCCAGGTCGTCCTCGCGATGTTCGTCCCGCCCGGCGGCCTCGCCGTCGAGCTCGAGGCGCCGGACCCGTCCAAGCTCTACTACGACCACGCGTCGACCTTCGGCGAGCTCGCGGAGCTCTTCGGCCACGCCTTCGTGCGGTCGACGCCGCGACACGACGACGCGGCGGGCGTGCTGCCCGCGGCCGTCGTCGGCGACCGCGAGTCGTGCCGCGACGTCTGCGCCGGGCCGCCCGAGTTCCGCATCTACATCGGCTTCCCGACGATCAAGCAGTGCCAGGACCGCTGCGACGCCTTCGCGCTGCGGCTCTCGAAGCTCGAGACCGCGCCCGACGCCTACTTCAAGCCCGAGTGGTACAAGAACTGGTGGCTCGGCGACGCGGAGGCCGACGTGCCCGCGGTCGTCGCGCTCGTGTCCGAGCACCTCGGCTGCGCCTAAATTTAAAATTAGCGGGACGCCGCGCGGCGGAGGCTCCGCGTCTTGTCGAGCTCGGAGATGAACGCGTCGAGGATGAACGCGACGACGACGTTCAGCAGGACGAGCACGCCGACGAGGTAGAAGGCGAGGAAGAAGGCCCGCCCCGTCCACTCGTCGGACACGGCGACGAAGCCCTCGACGAGCACGAACCAGTTGTTGACGACGAGGACGCAGAAGAGCGCCACGAAGCCCGACTCGTAGTCGTTGAAGTTCAGCGGCAGGTAGCCCTGGGCGTAAAAGTCCGTGCCCTCGAGCTGCGCCAGCTGGGGCGCGCCCGGGTCCGCGTTGATGAGGCCCTGGAAGAGCGCCGCGCCCACCGTCGCGAAGAAGAACGTGACGCAGAACAGGACCTTGACGAGCCGCGACGCCGCGGGGAGCATGTTCAGGAACGAGATGCCGATGACCTGGAACTCGGGCAGGGCCACGATGAGGCGGACGAGGCGCAGGAGCCGGAGCATGACGACGTAGCGCACGAGCGCGGGGTTGTCGTACGAGTTCGGGTACGCGACGTACGCGGCCGCGGCGAGCGACGCGAGCGTGACGAGGCCGTCGAAGCGGTTCCGGTAGTTGGCCGCGTACTGCGTGAGGCCGAGGCCCGCGACCTTGAGCGACGCCTCGGCCACGTAGAGGACCGCGAAGCCCGACTCGAGCGCCTCGAGGTCGCCCCGGACGTCCGACGCGTCCGACGCGGCCGTCCCCAACAATTCGTCCTTGGTCTGGTACGCGATGAGCGCGGCGTTGAGCAGGAGGAGCGCGTCGACGCCGAGCTCGAAGCTCGCCGCCTCGACGAGGCGCCGCGCGCGCGCGCGCCACGGCGCCGACGGCAGCTCGTCGTCCGACAGGCCCGCCCTCTTCCGGTCCGCCTCCTCCTGGAGCACGTCGACGACGCGCTCGAACTCGTCGCGGTGCAGCAGGCCGTCGCCCGACGTGTCCAGGTCCGCGAAGAGGCGCGCCGCCGCGTCCTCCGAGATGTAGACGACGTCGCGGTGCGCGTTCAGCTCGGCGAAGAGGTCGTCGAGCGCCCCCCGCGACACCTCGCGGGTCTCGCCCGCGGCGAGCAGCTCGAAGGCCGCGGTGATGTTCGCCGCGCGGCTCCGCGCGCGGCGCCGGCTCGCGGACTCGCGCTCGTCCGTGTACGCGTTGTAGACCGTCGCGAGCAGCAGGTTCATCATGAAGAAGAAGCCCAGCACGAGGAAGCCGCCGAAGTAGACCGCCGCGGGGAGGCGCGCGTGGCTGTAGGCGGGGATCATGACGTCCGGGAAGTTCGCCGTCGTGATGCAGATGAAGAGCTGCCAGCACGTCTGCCACAGGTTCGTGAAGTAGGCCTCGCCCTGCGCCGACGACCGGGGCGGGAAGAGCACGACGCCGAACCAGCCGAAGAAGACGAGGAGCAGCGACACGAGCGCGCCGACGCGGAGGTAGGCCGGCAGGATCCGGAAGATGAGGCGCAGCTGCGACCGCGTCTCGCCGCTGTAGCCGACGAAGAGCAGGAGCCGCAGGTGCGGCGCGACGCGCCACGTCGTGAACTCGAGGCCCTGGGCGCCGAGGACGACGAGCCACGCGCGAACAATGTCGACCACGAGGAGGAGCGCGGCGGCGGCGACCCAGCCCATGCCGCCCGGGCCGAAGAAGCGCGCGCGGCCGACGGCGACGGCGTTGCACGCGAGGTGCGCGGCGACGACGCCCGCGCACGCGACCTGCGCGGCGACGGCGACGTACTCGTCGACGTAGGCGATGTCGAAGGTCGGGTAGGGGCAGCGCGACGGCTCGTCGACGTCCCAGACGCACTCGCAGCGGCCGTCGGCGCGGCACCACCGCGGGATCTCCCAGAACGTGAGCAGCAGGAGGCCGACGGCGGCGCCCTGCGCGGGCCCCTCGAGCAGGAGCTGGAGCCGGAAGGCCCGCTGCGACGACGCCTCGACGAGGGGCTGCAGCCGCTCGACGCCGCTGACGCTGTCCGAGATGAGCACGCCCGCGGCGACGACGCTCGGCGGCCGCTCGGCGCCGTCGGCGACCTTGGCGTAGGCGGACAAGCGCGCCATGGACCGCAGGCTCGCCGTGTCCGTCGACGCGCGCTGCTCCTTGGCGCCGTACATGGCAGGCGCTGCTCCCCTGTCGCAGCGCGTGCGGCCGACGAGCGGTCGTGCGGTCGTGCGGACGACTGGTTGCGCAAGACTGTGGCAATTCTAGACGGCAATTCTTGATCAACGTGACTGCACTGTTAGTCGCACTCTCTACGGTGAAGCGTTGATTTTTACGCTGCCCGCGCTGATATCATGATGGCGCTGCCCAGAACAGCGGCCTAAGCTGAAGTGAGTGAACCGTTGATATTCTACGCTGCCCGCGCTGCGCATGGCGCCGCCCCGCACGCTGCAGGGGACGCCCAAGTCGCGGATGATCACCGTGCAGCAGCCCGCGGCGTCGCGCGCCGTCGCCGCGCAACCGAAGGCCGTCGTCGCCGTCCGGCCCAAGAGGCCCGTCGAGCTGGCGCTGCGGAACCCCGCGGCGCTGTCGTCGCGGCCCCCGCCCGGCGTCGACGGCGACGACGCGTCGTTCCGGTCCTCCGCGTCGAGCGCGTCGACGGCGGGCGCCGCGCCGCGGCGGCGGAGGCCCTTCGTCCGCGACCCGGACCGCGACCAGCGGCGCCTCGACGCGCGGCGCGCGCGCTGCGCGGACTACGTCGCCCGCGAGGAGGGCGCGCCCGCCGGCGTGCTCGCGGAGATGGTCGACCCCGCGGCGGCGTCGTCGCCGACGTACAAGGACGACCTGCGGCTCCACCGGCGGAACTTTCAGGCGGAGGTCGCGCGCGTGACCCACCGGAGGACGAAGCGCGCGGAGCTCCGGGGCAAGCTCAAGGCCGCGGGCCGCGCGGCCATCGCGACGGCCATGTTCGGCATGGGCCTCGGCGGCGCGGGCGCCGCGGAGCTCGAGGAGGGCGGCCTGGGCAGCGCGGCGAAGCGCGCGCGCGAGGCGCTCCTCTTCGGCGACGACGGCGGCGACGGCCCCCTGAGCCCCGCGAGCCCCGCGGCCGCGGGCGCGCGAAGCCCCCCGGCCGAGGGCGCCTTCGTCAACTCCGAGGACGAGTCGCGGCGCCGCGCGCTCGCGTTCGTCTACCGCAACTCGGAGGCGCGCCACGAGGAGTCGGCCGCGGACCGCCAGTACCGCGAGGCGCGCGAGTCCGACGAGGCCGAGGCCGAGGCGCAGATGCGCGCCCGCGGCGACTGGCAGCGGCTCACGGGCCTCCGCGCGCGCGCGGACGGCGCGGGCCGCAAGCTCGACGACGTCGAGAAGGCCATCCTGAAGCGGCTCACCGTCGCCTTCGACGGCAACGTCTTCGCGGCGAACAAGGCGCGCGTCGAGCGCGAGAAGCGCGACAAGAAGGCGCGGCGCATGGACAAGATCGCCGAGGTGAACGCGCGCAACGACGAGCTCGCGGTCATCGCGCGCCTCGACCGCGACCGCAGGCTCGCGGCGTTGGTCGCGCCCGTCCGCCGCGCCGCGGCCGCGGTGCTCACCTTCGGCCGCAGGGGGCCGGAGGCCGAGGACTAATTAGACGACGGCGGTGCGCGCGAGCTCGCCCGGCGCGGCCGCGGGCCGCGCGCGCCGCTCCTCGTCGAAGTAGGCGCGGAGCCGCGCGGCGCGCGCCGCGTCGTCGCGCGCCGGCGCCGCGTCGGGCGCCTCCCGCCGCCGCGCGACGGCGCGGGCGAGGTCGTCGTGCAGGATCTCCGCCGCGGCGACGTCGGCGGCGCCGAGGTCGAGGCCGAGCGCGCAGACGAAGTCCTCCACGTCCTCGGACGCGCCGCAGCCCAGCGGCGCCGGCAGGGCGCGCACGAAGCCCTTGAGCGCGCCGATGCGCATGACGCCCGCCGTCGCGTCGGCGTGGGCGAACCACGCACGGTTGAATTCTTGTTGCAACGCGCCCAGGCCGGCGTCGAGCTCGGACGGCACCGGAGAGGCGGCGGCCGACGCGCCGGCGCCCATGCGCTAGGGGGGCTGCCCGCCCATCGTGAACGCACCCGCGGCAGCGACGACCACGGCGACCACGGCCACGCGTATGGCGTCCGAAGCTGCCATCGAGATTACTCAACTTGAGAAGGCAGTGGAACCTGAGGGTGACCGTGACGCTCGGTTGAAGCTCCGAGAGTCTTCACAAAAAAAATGGTCTAAGCAAAAAAGCCGCCCCCCCCTCCTCAGGGGGCGCCCGCGTCGCGCGCGCGCGCCTCCGCGCGGACGATGTCCGTGATCGCGCGGCGGCGCGTCTTCATCTGCTTGAGGCGGTCGTCGAGGGTCTTGGCGAGGCCCGCGTTGCCGCGGCCCCGGAGGTCGTCGAGGGCCCTCTGGCAGGAGGCGATGGTCGCGTCGATGGTCGCGAGCGCGTCCGCGGCGGACGACGCGGCGACGCGCTCCGCGAGGTTCGACACGAGCGCGCACCGCTTGCCGAAGCGGAGCGCCTGGAGCGCTCGTCGGCGTGGTCCGCGCGGCGGCGGCAGCAGACGAGGGCCGTCGTGCGGCTCGCGCCGCCGAGCGCGGCCTTGAGGAGCGTCGCGAGCTTCGCCTCGAGGTAGGGCACGTGCGCCTGGCCCTCGACGAGCGCCGCGACGACCTTGCCCAGCACGAGCAGGCTCCCGTTGATGTTCACGGCCTCGGCCCGCCGCGCGGCGTCGTGGGCGGCGCCGGAGCGGTAGATGCGCTCGCTGCCCGCGAGGTCCGCGAGCACGAGGCGGCTCTCGAGCAGCGCGCCGCGCCGCGTCTGCTTGAGCTTGAGCACGACGACGGCGTGCGCGCGCGAGCTCCGCGCGTTCATCGCCGTCGCCGCGAAGCGCTTGCGCACGTTGCCCGCGCGGAGCAGGCGCGCGCCGTCCGCGAAGGTCGCGACGCCGGCCTCGACGCAGCCGACGGGCTCGCCCGTGGACCGCGACACGTCGCACGCGTCGCCCGTGAGCAGGTCGACGCACCGCTCGTTGTAGATCTCCACGTACTGGAGGCCCACGGTGAGGGCCTCGCCCGCGCCCTGGCCCCGGAAGAGGTCGCGTAAAACGCGGACGACGAGGCCGCTCGCCGCGTCGTCCGTCAGGTCGCCGAGGTCGCGCTCGAGAGCCCCCGGCGGCCCAAAGGCCGCGTAGGTCTTGCCCGACCCCGTCTGGCCGTAGCAGAGCACGCAGGCGTTCATGCCGTTGAGCGCCGACGTCACCGCGGGCGCGCCGACCGCGGCGTAGACGTCGGCCTGGCCCTCGGTCTCGAAGACGCGCGAGAACGGGAACGGTCTCACGCCCGCGCCGGGCACGTGGACGACGACGCGCGTCGGCTGCACGGCGAGGACCTTGCACCCGGACCGCGCGGGCCGCGGCGCGTCGTCGTTTTCGTCTTGCGTCTCCTCGATCTTCCGCACCTCGGCCTCCGCGGACTCGAGGCCCTCCGTGAGGTCCGCCGCGGACGCGGCGGGCGCGGGCGCGTCGTCGCCGCGCGCCGCCGCGTTTTCGCTCTCCGCGCCGTCGTCGTCGTCGTCCGCCGCGAGCGCGCCGCGCTGGGCCTTGCGGGCCGCGGCCTCCTCCGCGGCCGTCGCGGACGCCGCGAGCCTCTCGGCCTCGAGGACCGCGTCGAGGACCGTCGGGTCCAGGGCCCTGGCCCCGGCGAGGCGCCGCACGACCTCGCTCCCGGCGACGCCCGTCGACGCGTCCGCCGCGTCGCGCCGCGCCCGGAAGGCGACGAGCTCCTCCTTGACGTCCGCGGCGGACGGCAGCGGGAGCGGCGGCGCGGGGCCGCCTGGGCAGCACAAGAGTGATTCAACGTCGCTTCAACGTGAGTGTTCCGCGCGCGCGCGTTCCGTGAAAAGCATTCACGCTTCGGGACCGTTCCGAGAGATGATCGCTCGTCCAAAAATCAGCCGAAACGAGTGGAAAACGGCCGAGAAAGGAGCCTTTGAAGTTGGGAATTTCGCTCTCTTGTCCTGCCCTGGGGGCCGCCGTCGTAGGGGTCCGTGCCGCGCCGCGCGACGTGGGCCTCGGCCCAGGACCGGTCGACGACGGCGCCGCCGGGGAGCCGCACGGGCGACGTGAGCTCCGCGCCCGTGACGGCGTCGAGGAGTTCAGCCGGCGGCCGCTCGCCGCCGACGAGCGGCGCGTCCGACGATGTTTCGTCGCGCCGCTGGCGCTGCACTTTGAGGAACTGGTGCAGCGGGAGCGTGACGTCCGCCGACGCCGCCGCGCCGTCGCCGGCGTCGCCCTCGGCCTCGGGCCGGAAGCGCACGCAGACCTCGATCTTGAAGTCGCGGCGCGGCGCGTTATCGCCGCCGGCGCCCGCGAGCGCCCACTTGTCGCGCGCGGGCCAGAGCTGGTTGAAGAAGAGGCGCTTCCAGGCCATGGCCGCCGCCGCGGACCGGCCCCGCGCGTCGCTCCCCGGCGCGGGCACGGGCGTCGCGGGCACGACGAGGCCCCGCTCGGCGCCGAGCGCGACGCACGCGCCGTGCCACAGCGCCGGCGCGGTCCCGTCGGACTCGAGGACGGTTCCGAGCGCCCTGGACGCGGCGTGGAGGCGCCCGACGGACCGGAAGCCGGCGAAGGCGCCGACGCAGGACACGGCGCCCGCCTCCTTGAGCACGTCGACCAAAGTCATCGCCGGCGGCGCCGCGGCGGCCGCGTCGCCGACGGCCGCGGCGTCGTCGTCGGCGCCGAAGACGGACTTGGCCGACAGCCGCGTCGCCTTGGCGCCGTAGGGGTCGTGCGACTTGAAGAGGTCGTGCATGGTCCAGGGGTCGCATTTGCCCTCGAGCCAGGGGTCGAGCTTGCGCCAGAAGACGTTCGTGATCTCGTAGAACGACGACGCGTACTTGTAGGAATCGAGGATCTCCACGCAGCCCCAGCGGTTCCGCGAGCCCAGGTTCGACTCCGGGCCCGTGCCGAACTCGGCCCCCAGGTAGATCTCGACGTGGACGATGTTCATCTTCTGCTGCCGGTGCTTGCCCGTGTGGTACGTCGCCTCGACGAACATGAGGTCGCCCGGCTCGAGCTCCTCGAAGGCGCAGGCGTCGGGCAGCGTCGCGAACTGGTAGGCCTGGTTCCACATGCCCAGGTCGAAGCCAAAGTCCGCGCGCATGTCCTGGACGACGCGGCGGATGAAGTTGCAGCAGTCGAGGTAGAGCGGCCTGCCGTAGAGCGGGTCGCCGGGCTTGTGGTAGCGCTCCGCGTAGGGGATGCCCATGTAGGTCTTGGCGTGCTCGATGAACTTCCGCCGGAGCCACCGCTTGTCGCCCGCGGGGTCCCGGGCGCGCCGCGCGGCCGCGAGGACCTTGAGCCTGCTCGCGGGCACGCGCGTCTGCTGGCGCTTCCGCTCGCCGCGGAAGCGCTTGAAGGCGTCCTGGAGCGACTGGCCCTCGGGCACGGCCTTGCCGTCGAGGCGCCCGAAGCAGAGCAACTCGTCGTCGTTCTTGCCGGCCGGGGCCGGCGGCTTCGGCGGCGTCGGCTGCGCCAGCGCCTGGGTCGGCGCCGGCGGCTCGAGCGTCGACTCCGCCGGCGCTTCCGCCGGCGTTTTCGCCGGCGTGTCCACCGGCGCGGCCGCCGCCGGCTCGAGCGTCGACTCCGCCGGCGTTTTCGCCGGCGTTTGCGCCGGCGTGTCCGCCGGCGCGGCCGCCGGCTTCTTCGCGAGCGGCTCCAGGGTCCGCGCCGTGTCGTGGTTCGACGGAGAGAGAACGCCCATCGAAGGAATGGGCTGCCCCGACCGCTTTACAAACGACGACGGCAGACTCGCGGCACTCTGGGAGCAAGGAGCCGACGCTGCCCCGGGGCTCCTTCGACATCGTCTGGCTTGGCTGGTGGCCTTGGCGGCCGCGCGCGCCATGGCGGCGGAGCTCATGGCCAAGGAGCGGGAGATGGACGCGCTGGCGAGCCAGCTCGCGAGCATGGAGCAGATGGGCGGCCTGTCCCTGGGCCCGCACCTGCGCCAGATGCTCGCGGGCCGCGGCGCCGCCGTCGCGCCGCCGGAGGTGAAGCAGTGCCTCGAGGTCGCGGAGCAGCACAAGGCCGACGGCAACGCCCTCTTCGAGGCCGGCGACGACCAGCGTCCTGCGACCGTGACAATGTTCGAGAGCTTTTGACCGGAGGACGATGAACAGTCGTCACCGTCGCGCTCGGTAGGCGACGACGCCAACGCGGCCAAGGAGTACGTCAGGGGCATAAGCCTCCTGCGCCAGTTCGACGAGACGAAGGACAGCCGGATCACCGCGCTCCACGTCGCGCTCCACCTCAACTGCGCCGCGGCCCACTTCCGCCTCGAGAACTGGGAGGACGTCATCGCCTACAGCACGCCCGTCGTCGACCTCCAGCCCGAGGGCCAGCCGGGCATCGTCCGCGGCCTCACCATCGGCGGCCTCATCAAGGCGCTCTACCGCCGCGGCGTCGCCAAGAGCCGCCTCATGCGCTGGCCCGACGCGGAGCGGGACCTCGCGGGCTGCATCCGCAGCGCGAACCCGCAGTACGCGGACCCGGCGCGCCGCGAGCTCCGCAAGATGCGCGCGCGCTGGGACGCGGAGCGCGCGCGCGCGAACCAGCTCAGCGGCTTCGGCGGCTCGCTGGCCCACGTCGAGGGCGGCGTCTACACGGACATTGAGGACGAGCGCCGCGAGAAGTGGATCGAGCACCACCGGAAGCAGAGCGACGTCGAGCGCGCGTTCCACGAGAACAACAAGCACCGCGTCGCGAACGGAAAGGAGGAGATCGACTTCGAGGAGTGGCACAAGGACCGCCTGGCGAAGAAGGAGCGGCAGCGCGAGCGCGAGCGGAAGCTCCGCGACGCCGCCGCCGCCGCCGCGGAGGCGAAGCGGCGCGACGCGCGGCTCGCCGCGGGCGTCGAGCGCGTCGTCGTCGAGGACGAGCCCGAGCTCGCGGGCGTGGACGCGCGGGGCTACGAGAAGCTGGCCGCGGGCGGCGAGACGCCCTACTTCGCGCGCGAGGCGCAGGCCGCGGCGGCGCTCCTCGACGACGCGACGCGCGCGGAGCTCGAGGCCGCCGCGGCGCCCGCGAAGCTCGAGGACGTCGACGAGGCGGCCGCGCCGCCGCGCGTGTCCGTGCTGCCGTCGGACCAGAGCAAGTGGTGCACCAAGGCCCTGCGCAAGTCCCTGACCAAGGCCAGGGCGTCGTCCGCGAGCGACGAGGAGGGCCAGGCCTTTTCCGTGTCCCTCAAGTGCACGAAGGTGTCGACGGTCGTCGGCGAGGCGTCGATCACGGTCATGGCGGGCACGCGGCGCTACATCTTCGACTACTCGGCCTTCCTCGACTGGGAGGCCGAGGTCAAGGGCGACGGCGACTCCTTCGCGCTCTTCTTCGGCGGGTCCGCGCGGCTGCCGGAGGTCGCGTCCTGTGTGGAAATCAAATCTGCAACCCGACTTCAATGTGCGCGTATGCGACCGTTTAGACGCGAGCTCTTCTGCTGTGCTTCGAGAACTCGACGAGAGCAATCGATTCGTCCAAGAATCAGCCGAATCGACATCGATTTGACGAAGCTAGAGAGTTCTGAAGTTTGGTGGGGACCCCCCAAACCAGTGGTTGATTTCCACACAGGTCGCGTCGACGGTGATCGACGGCGCGTACGACGTCGAGCTGACGCAGAAGCGGCCCTGCGCGAAGCCGCGCCACGCCGCAGCGCTGGACAAGGGGCTGGCGCTCCTGCGGGCGAACATTTTAGCGCGCGTCGGCGCCTTCGTGGACGAGTACCGGGGCCACCGCCGCGTGCCGCCGGGCAAGTACGTCTTCGAGCACCCCGGGGGCGCCTTCGACGTGGAGCTGCGCGGCGACGGCAAGACCTTCTGGTGCCCGACGTTCCCGGCGAAGGCGACCTACGGGCTGGACGGCGACGACCTGACGATCGTCTTCGGCCCCTACGGGACCTTCCGATTCCGGGAGACGCTGCTGGGCGTCTGGGAGGGCGCGCGCGCGGGGCGCCCCGAGGACTGGCGGCGCTGCGTCTTCGCGCGGTCCCTGACGCCGGCGGAGCAGCTCGTGTCCGGCTCCGCCTGGGAGCTGAGCTTCAAGCGGGGGCGGCCCTTCCGCGTCGAGCTTCGCGCGGATTTCTCGTTCGTGTCGCCGGACTACCCGGGAAAGTTCGCGTGGAAGATCGCCGACGGCGTCGTCGTCGTGGACTGGGGCCGCTACGGGACCTTCGACCTCGAGATCGACGTGACGAACGGCGTGCTCAAGGGCGACAAGCGCGGCGCGCCGGGCGACTGGCGGCGCCTCGACTTCGTCGAGCGCCTGCCCTGCTTCGTCGACCCCCAGGAGTAAATTCCGCGTTAGACGAGGTCCGCGCCGCTCGCGCGTCGGTCGAGGTCGCCGCAGGTCGCCCCGTCGCCGGGGGCCGCGTCCCGGAACGCCGCGAGCTCGGCGATGGCGTCGACCATCGTCGGCCGCGCGGCCGGGTCCTGGGCCCAGCAGTCCTCGACGACGGCCGCGAGGCGCCGCGGCATGCCCGGCGGCAGCGTCGGCCGCTCGCCGTTGGCGATCTTGGACATGACCACGAAGGGCGGCGGCACGTCGTCGTCGGACGTCGCGAAGGGCGGCAGGCAGTTCCACAGGCTCACGAGGAGCATGCCGTAGGCGAAGACGTCCGTCGGCGACGCGAAGTCGGCGCCCGGGCTACCGGCCACCGGCGGTGCGCCGGGCGGCGGCGGCGTCTCCGGCACGCCGATGATGATCTCCGGCGCCATGAACGCGGGCGTGCCCACGCCCGTCGTGCACGTGACCATGGCCTTGGCGTCCGCGGACTTGGACAGGCCGAAGTCGCAGAGCTTCGCGAGCGCCGGCGGGTCCACGAGCACGTTCGACGGCTTGATGTCGCGGTGCGCCGTGCGCCGCGAGTGGAGGAACGCGACGCCCTGCGCGACGCCGAGCGCGAGGTCGCAGTAGGGCCCCCGGAGCTCGAGGCCGCCGCCGGCCTTGACGAGGTCGAGGTGCTTCGTCAGCGACCGCGGCACGTACTCCGTAACCACAAAAACGTGCTGCGCGTGCATGACGACGCCGTAGAAGTGGACGATGTTCGGGTGGTGGAGCTTCGCGAGCACCGTCGCCTCCCGCCGCAGCTGCTCCTTGTTCGCGCCGTTCCACTCGAAGCACGGGATGCGCTTCGCGGCGACCGTCGTGCCCGCGTAGGTGCACTTGAAGACCGCGGCCGTCGCGCCGACGCCGACCATGTCCCCCAGGGACATCTGCTTGTAGTCCAGGATCCAGTCGCCCGACGTCGTCGCCATGCCCGACCGCACCAAACCCCGGAGCTGGCGCCGGTCGCTCTCGGCGTCGCCCGACGGCCGCTCGCCGGCGCCGCCCGCGCCGTGGGTGACCAGGCGCAGCTTGCAGGCGTCGAAGAAGCGGGAGCACTTGCTCGGGGGCTCGTCGCCGCCCCAGGACCGCCGGTCGCGCGACCGCCGGAGCCTCCGGCAGAGCTTCGCGACGAGGTAGCCCGCGAGGACGCAGCCCGCGGCGCCGCCCGACAAGAGCCACGCGAAATTCCGCCGGAAGAACTCGTTGAGGTCCGGCGCGTCGTCGTCGTCGTAGTGGCCCGCGGGCACGTGGCAGCCGATCTTGACCTTGTTCGACAGCGCGCGAAAGTACGTCACCGTCGTCGTGTTCGCGCCGTCGTAGGGCGGCTGCACGGACTCGAGGAGCACGCGCACGCAGTCGACGAACTCGCCGTCGGCGGTCTGGGGGCACGTCGCGTAGATGGACGCGTCCCAGTCCGCCGTCTCGGCGACGATCTTCACGGACTTGTGCAGCGTCGCGCCGACTTGCCTTCCGTCCGTGCCGTTCGCGCGCGAGTCGCAGGTGCGGAGCTCGATGTCCACGACGGCCTTGGTCGACACGTCGCCGACGACGGCCCAGGTCACGTTGTAGGAGCCCGACGGGAGCGGCGACGGGATCTTGTCGACGTCGATGTGGACCGGCGTCGGGCTCGGCGTCGGCCGCGGCGACAGCGACGGCGCGGGCGTGGGCACGGGGCTCGGCTGGGCCGTCGTCGGGCGCGGCGTCGGGCGCGGCGTCGGGCGCGGCGTGGGCCGCGGCGTCGGGCGCGGCGTCGGCCGCGGCGTCGGGCGCGGCGTCGGCCGGCGCGTCGGCCGCGGCGTCGGCCGGCGCGTCGGCCACGGCGTCGGCCGCGGCGTCGTCGGCGCCGGGGTCGGGTCGGCGGCCGTCGGCCGGTGCGCCGTCGCCGTCGGCGCCGGCGCCGGGTCGATGGCGAAGCTCACGGCGTCGACGTGCGAGCAGAACATGAGCCACCATACGGCGGCGCGCATCGCGCAGGCGTCCGACGGCCGGCGGCCGCCGGCTTCTCCGGGAAGCGCGGCGTCCGGCGGGCTCTCGCGAGGCGCGGGGCAGCGCCGAGCGCGCGAAGCCCCCCCCTTGCAGCGGGCCGGACGACGGGGCAAGCACTCTTCTCAGCAAATCAAATGCGCACATGCAATGGGGCAGCCCGCGGCAAACATTGCCGGGCATCATCTCCTTGACGTCGAGGCCGCCGGCGTCGAGATCCTGGCCACAACACTGAGAGTGAGTGCTGACGTTGTTGACGGAGGCCGCGCATCCCCATGGCGCGGCTCGTGCTCCTCGTTCTCGCCGCGGCCCACGCCTTCACCGCGCCGGCGCGCACCGTCGCACACACTGGCCGGACGCGGTCGGTTCGCGGTCGAAGCCTCGCCATGGTGACGACGACGGCTTCAATCGAGATGAACAACGGCCAGGTCGGCGTCATCTCGAGCACGCGGTCCAAGGTCAGTTCCGCCGAGGCGGGCAACGTCGTCGGCGCCCTCGAGCGGCTCCGCCAGGACCTCGACTCGCTCGAGATCAACATCGGCTCGCGGCCGCGCGTCTCCGTCGGCGAGGGCGCGCTCCTCGGCACGTCCGTCGCTTTAAGCACGGCGTCGCCGTTGCTCTTCAGCGAGAAGGTCATCGAGCTCCTCGTGCCGTCGGCGGCGCTCCTCATCGCGGCCGTCGGCGTCTCCGCGGAGTACGGCGGCCGCGTCGCGACGGCGAACGGCAAGGAGATCGCCGCGGCGTCTTTACGCACCGCCGCGGAGGCCGAGGCGCTCCTGGCCGTCGCCGAGCGGTCCAAGGCCGTCATCCCCTTCACCGTGGGCGTGTCGGCTTCCGCGGCGGCCGTGTCGCTCGTATTGCCCGCGGCCGTGAACAAGATCATGATCCTCAAGCACAAGCCCACGGAGGTGCTCATGTTGATGCCGCTCCTCGCGCTCTTCTCCAGCGCGGTGGCCGCCCTGGCCGAGGTCGAGGTGAAAGCTGCCTGCCGCCGGGCGACGTCCCTGGGCCGCCGGCGCTTCTCGTCGAAGAGGGAGGTCGGCGCGAGCTGGCTCTCCCAGACGGAGATGGTCTTCCTCGAGGACGAGCGGAAGCAGCGGCGCTGGCGGTCCTTCGCCCTGGGCGTGCTCCCGGCCCCGCTCTTCGGGCTGGCCTGCATGTCCGGGAGCGTGGGCTTCCGCGCCATCGTCACCGCCGCGTTCGCCGCCGGGCAGACGGCCTTCTACCTCGCGTCGGCCGAGTACTACGTCGCGCGCGCGCAGCAGGCCGTCGCGGACAAGATGCGCACGGCGGCCGTCGCCGACACCTACGCGAACCAGGCGTCCCGCGTCGGCGCGCTGTTGCCCTTCACGTCCGCGCTCGCGGGTTTGGCGGCGGCCGGCGCGGCCGTCTCCGTCGAGATCGCGCCCGCGCTCTCCGCGGTCTTCCCCCTCGCGGGCGCCGTCGTCGCGGCGGCGGCCGCCGTGTCCAAGGCGTGCTGCGAGGCCGACTCGTCCGCAGCGCGCGCGGCCTGCGAGGGCCTCGCGTCCACGGAGGAGCACGGCCCGCCGCCGTCGTTCCTCGAGAACGCGGTCGTCGGGCCGCTCAAGGACCTCTTCCGCGAGCACCCGGAACCCCGCGACGGCTCGGACCTCGTGCGGAAGTTCGCCTAGGTTGGCGAATATACTACCCCGGGGGGTCCGCGCGCCTAGATGGCCTCGGGCGCGATGCCGAGGCCGACGAGGGACAGGTCCGGCGCGTCGCCACCGGGGCGCAGCGCCCGCTTGAGGCCGTCGAACTTGGCCGCGGCGGCCTTGGCGAGGCGCGCCCGCAGGCTCGTGAGCGTCTTCGCCCGCGTCGCCTCGTCGAGGGACGCGAGCTGGATGCCGTCGAGGAACACGTGGAGCAGCCCGGCCTCGCAGTCGTAGTCGTAGGACACGTCGGAGGCGGACTTGGGGCAGACCATCTCGAACTTGAGCGTGACACTCTTGGGCCCCGCGTCCTTGGATCCCTTGTTCGACGCGCGGAGCGCCGCGGACGCGCGCGTCGCGACGACCTTGACGACCTTGCCGGACGCCTCGACCTTGACGTCCGCGAGGGACGGGAGCTGGACCGACAACGCCACGGCGTCGCCGACGTCCTCGAGGTCGACGCGCTTCATGGCGTCGCGCCAGCACTGGCCCACGCTGAAGTCCTCGTCGCTCGCGAGCGCGTCGCGGCGCTTCCGCGCCGCGAAGTTCGCCCGCGCGATGCGCGCGTCGAGCCGCTTCGCCGCCTCGAGGCCCTTGGCTTCGGCGAGGCCGTGCTCGAAGTCGAGCTCGCCGTCGACCTCGAGCTGCGCACACTTGGCCACGTCGCCGTCCTTGAGCTCGCGGTCGAGGCGCGCGGCGACCTTGGCGTCGGCCTCCTCCTGCTCGAGCTTCGCCTCGCAGTCCTTCATCTCCTCGCGCTGGGCGAGGGCCGCGAGGCGCCGGTCCGCGTCGCTCGTCGTGCGCGCCTGGCCCTTGGCGAAGCGCTCCTCGCGGAGCAGGCGCTTCACGTAGGCCGCGTCGGCCTTCTCCTGCTGGGCGTTGAGGCGGTGGCGCACGAGCCGGCGCATCTGCGCGTCGCCGTTGGACATGTCGTTGATGAGGTCGTCGTCGAGGGCGTCGAAGGAGCGCGCGCACTCCTCCTTCTCCTCGCACTTCTCCTCCATCTTCGACTCGCAGGGCATCGTGGCCGTCGGGTTCTAACCGCTCGGGGCAGCCTTCGAGGGGCACTTGAACGGCAATTTCAGCTATGTTGAGGCGAGAGCATGGACCTGTGGTAAATCACAAGAAGCGCATCGACCTGTATCCGCGTCGCGCCGCCGCCGAAATCTGTGGTAAACCACAAGAGGGCGCATCGGAACTCACAAGAAGCGCATCGACCTGTATCCGCGCGCTGCCGCCGAAGCACATGACGCGGGGCCGGAAGCGCCGCGGGCCGCGGGCCGTTCGCGCGCCGAAGGTCAAGGCGCCGCCGAAGGAGTCGGAATTAAATGACAAACAATACGGGAAGGGCGCCAAGCTCCTGCGGCTCTGCGGCTGGCGCGACGGCGAGGGCCTCGGCAAGCGGTCCCAGGGCATCTCGTTGGACGCGCTGCTCACGTCCTTCGAGGACGCGACGGGCGACGCGCGCGGCCTCGGCCACCGGAGAGCCGCGGTCGCGGCGGCGTGGGCGGCGCCCGCGGAGGAGACGGACGAGCCGCGCGCGCCGGAACCGAGCGGCGACTGGGGCGCGCCCGCGGCGGCGGCGGACGGCTGGGGCGCGGCCGCGGCGGCGCCGGTCGGCTGGGGCGCGGCGCCGGCGGCGGCGCCGGACGGCTGGGGAGCACCCGCCGCCTCCTCGTCCGGCGGCGGCTGGGGCGCGCCCGCGGCGCCGCCGGACCGCCGGGGCGAGTCCACCGCCTCGTCCGGCGGCGGCTGGGGGTCGTCGGAGCCTTCCTCCGGCGGCTGGGGCGCCGCGCCCGCCTCGCGCGGTTCCGGCTGGGGCGCCCCCGAGACCCGCGGCGGGCGGGCGCGCGACGCCTCGGGCGGCGGCCGGGGGCGCCACGCGTCGCCCGCGTCGCGCGGCTGGGGATCGTAACGCGCGGGCCGTAGATACGAGCCATGGTTACGACGGTCGCCGTCAGAAAGATGGCTTGGGCATGGGCATGAGCTTCTTGATCTGGAGGAAGGCGATCGCGTTGCCGACGCCGCAGCGCACGGTGAACTCGTCGGCGTCCTCGTCGCAGAGCGCCCAGACGAGCTCCGCCACGAGGCGCTTCGTCACGGGCTCGAGGTCGCACATGAGCTTGAGCAGCAGGCTCCGCGTCGCGTAGCGCGGCGCGTCGACAGGGTGGATCCGCGCGGCGTCGAACTCCTTCTGGAGCGCCTCGTCGCCCTTGGCCCTGGCCTTGGCCTCGGCGAGCTTGGGCATCCAGACGGCGTCGGCCTCGGGCGGGAAGATCCACTCCTTGAGCTGCCGCTTCCCCTTGGACGACGCGGCGCAGAGCTTCAAAAAGGCGTCGAGCAGGGGCGGCAGCGTCGTCTCCGGGCTCTCGTACTTGTTCTCCACGACGTAGTCGTTGAGGATGCCCTCGAGCAAATTACAAAGCCGCGGCACGGCGCCGTTCTCCACGAGCCAGCAGTAGTACGTCTTCGGCGCGCACGTCAGCAGGTTGACCGCGTCGAGGCACGCCGGCGGCACGTCGTAGGGCGCGCGCGCGCCGCAGAGGACGGCGCGCAGGCAGACGCCGATGAGCGTGACGGCCGGGTCGTCGGGCGCCTCGCCGGGCGACAACAGGTAGCCCGCGCCCGCGTCCTTCAAGTCGTGGCGCCGGCCCGCGGCGACCGCGTAGCAGACCTTGAGCACCTCGCCGGCGAGGACGCGGTCCCGGTACTTGAGCGTCCCGTCGGGCTTGCCCGCCGCGTCCGACGCGAGCACGCACCAGCCCAACGTCGTCGCGAGCGTTTGTTTCGCGACGTCGCCGACGGCGTCGAGCCGCGCTTTCGGCGACGACGCGCAGAGCACGTGGAGGCACTTGGCGCAGCCGAGGTAGCAGCGCTGCGGCAGGGCGAGGCCCATGACCGCGAGGAGCCCCGGCGCCGCGCCGGCGTCCGCGAGCGCGTCGACGAACGCGGTGTTCTTTGACCGCGCCGCGAGCACGCACGCGTTCGCGAGGGCCGCCGCGAGCTGCTCGGCGAAGGCGGCCAGGTGCGCGGGCGGCGGGGCCGCGCCGCCGGCGGCCGCGAGGCCCGCGAGCGCGCCGACGTAGACGCGCGGGGCGTCGTCGGCCGTCGCCGACGCCTGGGCGTCGGCGTCGCCGGAGGCGATGGCCGCGCGCAGGCCGTCCCAGGCCGCCGCCGCGGCCTCGAGGTCGTCGAAGGGCGCCGCGACGGCGAGCGTCGCGACCGCGGCGAACGCCATCTTGGGCGCTGCGCGCAGCGGCAAAGCGGCTCTCGGGCGCTGCGCGTAGCGGCAAAGCGACTCTCACCCTTTGGCTTTGCCACAGAGGGGGCGCTGCGCGCAGCGGCAAAGCGGAACTCGGGCGCCGCGCGTAGCGGCAAAGCGACCCTCACCCTTTGGCTTTGCCACAGCTCGCCAATGTTTTACATCGTCAAGCTGTCGACGTTTCCCCTGGGCAGCGCCGCCCCGACGATGGCGTCCTCGGGAGGCAGCCCGCTGAACGCGCTGCTGATGCACCTGCTGGAGCTGGGCCCGGCGCCGCCCGGCGGCGGGTCGCCGACGCCGCAGCCCATCCTCGACGACATCGCCGCCGCCGTGGCGGCCCACGTGAACAGCGCGCGCAAGCAGCGGCGCAAGCAGCGCGACTCGCGGCGGCCCGTGCCCCTGGCCGTGGCGCTCCAGGCGGCGCAGATGCTGCTGGAGCACCACAAGTACTTTGCGTTCCTGCCGGCGCGCGTCGCGTGCTCGACGATCGGCCTGGAGGCGCCGTGGCCCGCGGGGCGCCGGAGCGACCTCGCGCGGCGCCTGGGCAAGCTCACGTACCAGGAGCGGTCGAAGACGGCGCCGAAGCCCGGCGAGAGCCTGACCCGGGACCTGAGCCTGAGCGCGAACCTGAAGAAGCCCCGGGAAAAAGCGACGACGGACGACGCGCCGCCCGCGACGCCGGGCGCCGGGAGCCGCGACAAGGGCGACCTCGGCGGGTACCTCGTGTCGCTCGAGGACCTCGTCTCGGCGCTCCAGGCGGAGTGGGCCGGTGAGCTCGAGCGGCTGCGGGCGTGCGTGGTGGCCATCCGGGACGCCTACGACGCCGAGGTCGCGCGGAGCAGCGAGGCCGTCGAGCCCGAGCCCGAGCCCGCGCCCGACGAGGAGGATTTGGAGGTCATGAAGCGGCCGGGCATCCACGGGCTGCTCGAGGCCTGGGCCGTCGCCGGCTGGCCCGACCCCTTCGCCCCCCAAAATGACGGCGCGGCGTTGCGGGAAGCGCTCGAGTCGCTCGGAGAACATGCCCACCCCGCGATGCTCGGGGAAAAACCGGAGACGCTCGTCCGCTACGTCGGCGAGGCGCTCGCGTCCGGCGGCGGCCGCTTCGACCTCGAGGCCGACGACGAGTGGTCGCCGGACTGGGAGTGGGAGGCCTGGCCCGCGCCGTCCGAGCGGCGGCCACCGCCGCCGCTCGAGTCGCGGCACCTCGGGTCGCGGGTCGTCGACGCCGCGGTTCCAGCCGAGGAGGAGGACAGCGTCGCGACGGAGTCGACGGCGCCGGGGCCCGCGGACGAGATCAACTTCGCGCACTACTGCCTGTCGAGCAGCGGGTCCGCGCGGCTCCCCGCGGTCATCGGTTCCGCGGCGGCGGGCAAGGCCCTCCGGCGCATTTCCGTAAGGTCCTGCGGCCTCGGCGACGACGCGCTGGCGTCCGTCGTCGTCGCGCTGGGACACGTGGACCGGTCGCGGCTCGAGGCGCTGGACTTTCGGAACAACGCGGGCGGCGCGAAATTGGTGGGGGCGCTCGTCGCGGCGTTCTCGGGCGCCGTCGTGCCGGCCATGTTCCCAGCGCTGGCGGCGCTCGACCTGGCGTCGCTGCGCCTGCGGACGGCGGCGAAGCCGCTGTTGGAGCTCTTCGAGGACGGCGCGCCGCCGCCGCCGCCGGCGAGGAGCGCCTCGCCCGTCGAGGGCGCGGAGCCGCGGCGGCCGCCGGCGCCGCGGCCCAAAGACGACTGCCGCGCGCTCCGGCGGCTCGTGCTCCGGGACAACGGCCTGCGCGACGACGCGGGCGCGGCCCTCGCGCGCGTCGTCGAGCACAACGGCCACCTCCAGCACGTCGACGTCGCGTGGAACGCGCGAACCAGGGCAAGAAAAAAGAGAGCGAAATTCCCAACTTCAAAGGCTCCTCTCTCGGCCGTTTTCCACTCGTTTCGGCTGATTCTTGGACGAGCGATCATCTCTCGGAACGGTCTCGAAGCGTGGATGCTTTTCCCGGAACGCGCGCGCGCGGAAGACTCACGTTGAAGCGACGTTGAATCTCTCTTTTCCTATACAGGAGCTCACGGCCGCGTCCGGCGCGCCGCTCATGAACGCGCTCCACGCGTCGAGCGTGCTCGAGACGCTCGACATGGACGAGCACGCGGTCCCGAAGCGGCCGAAGAAGGCCAAGTCGCAGAGCGCGTCCGCCGCCGTGCGCATGGTCCAGAGGCGCCGCGCGACCCAGGGCGTCCCGGAGAAGGTCAGCGACCTCCTCGTGCCCACGAACCTCTTCCACTACCACGTCAAGCTCGGCATATGCACGCTCATCCGCCGCCAGGTGCCCCTCAAGCCCAACGTCCCCGACCCGTCCCGCCCGCCGCCGCCCTTCCACGTCTAACGTCCGACATGCGACGTTGAATTGACCTTGAACTGCATGTTCATGATGTCATCTGCCTGTTTCCATTCCCTTGTAGCCTATTTTCGATAGCCGCCTCCCGTCGGCGCAGGACGATGATGATGGACGCCATGAAGGCGCACAAAGCCCTCCACAACACGGAGAAGACGCTGCTCCTGCCCGCGAAGACGAGCGCGACGTCCTGGGGCCGCGTCGCCGCCGCCGCCGTGGCCCTCGCCTGCGTGTCGGGCCTCGGCGTCGCCGCGCGCGTGGCGCGCTCCCAGGAGTCCCTCGCCGTGTCGACGGAGGCGGCGGCGACGACGGGCGCCTCGAGCGGCGTCGACGGCCGCGACGCGGTCTGGGCCAAGTTCAAGGACGACTTCGCCAAGGACTACGAGACGGAGGTCCACGAGGCGCGCGCGCGGAACAATTTCGAGGCGCGCGTCGAGCGGCTCGCGGCGGCGAACGCGGCCAACGGCGGCGTGGCGGTCTTCGGCGTCACGGAGCACGCGGACCGAGAGCCGGGCGCCCGGGCCTACGCGCGGGGCCGCCGCGCGCGCGTCCCCGCGAGCGAGCGGCCCCCGTCGCCGAGCCGCGTGGACCTCGAGCCCGTCGAGGGCGCGTCGCACGCGTTCGTGGACTGGCGCGCCGATTCTCGCGGCGTCGTGTCCGCCGTGAAGAACCAGGGCCAGTGCGGGAGCTGCTGGGCGTTCTCCGCGACGGAGCAGGTCGAGAGTCAGCTCGTTTTGGCGGGCGCGCCCCAGGTCGAGCTCTCCACGCAGCAGGTCGCGTCCTGCACGGCGGACCCGCAACTCATGTGCTGCGACGGCTGCGCCGGCGGCGACCCGACGGCCGCCTACGAGTACCTCGCCTGGGCCTCGCGGAAGGGCGGTTTAGCTCCCGACGCGTGGTGGCCCTACGAGCAGGGCCTGACGCCCGACGAGGTCTGCGAGGCCCCGGCCTGCACGAAGACCTGCGACAAGGACGTGTCCCAGCTCCCCGCGGACTTTGGCTACGTCGGCCCCTACGCCAAGGTCTCCGGCTACGCCTACGCGATCCCCGAGTGCGACGTCGGCGCCTGCGACGACCAGGACACGGACCAGCTCGCCGCGCGCCTCGAGGCGTCGCCGCTGAGCGTGTGCCTCAACGCGGGCGCCTGGGACGACTACACGGGCGGCGTCCTCTCGGAGGCCGCGTGCGGCGGCCACGGCGCGGACGACGTCGACCACTGCGTCCAGCTCGTCGGCTACAACAAAACGGAGCCGGAGAACAGCTACTGGATCGTGCGCAACTCCTGGTCCACGAGCTGGGGCGAGGACGGCTACATCTACCTGTCCATGGACGGCAACGCGTGCGGCGTCGCCAACGAGGCGACGCTCGCCGTCGTCGCCGAGGGCGACGGCGACTCGGGGCCCGTCAACAACTTCTAAGGCGGGGTCTGTGTGAGTTCTCGGGTCGTCCAGACTGCTAAGCTAGTGTTCGTTGACTGCAAGGCCTACTGCAAGTTGAACTCATCAAAACTTGACGCGTCGCGATCTCTCCGCGCGACGTCGACGCCACCAGCACCGCCATGGAGCTCGACGCGACCGCTCTGCTCGCCGCCTTTTTCGCCTACAAGGTGGTCCTGCCGCTCCTCGGCGGCTTCTACGCCCACTTCCTGCGGCCGGGCAAGGACCTGACCAAGTACGGCCAGTGGGCCGTGGTCACGGGCGCTACGGACGGCATCGGCAAGGCGCTCTGCTTCGAGTTCGCGAAGAAGGGCCTGGACGTGTTCCTCATCTCGCGGACGGAGTCGAAGCTCGCCGACGTCGAGGCGGAGCTGAAAGCGAAGCATCCGACGCGCGAGTTCCGACACCTGGCCGTCGACTACGCCGGCGGCTTCGACGCCGGCAAGCAGGCCGCCGTCCGGGCGGCGCTCGCGGACCTGGACGTCGGCGTGCTCGCGAACAACGTGGGCATGTCCTACCCCTTCACCAAGTACTACCACGAGCTCACGGACGCCGAGTGCGCGGGCCTCGTGGCGCTCAACACGGAGAGCACGCTCTTCATGACGAAGATCGCGCTCGGCGACGAGTCGGGCGGCATGATCGCGCGGAAGCGCGGCGCCATCGTCAACACGTCGTCCGCCGCCGGCACGCAGATCTCGCCGCTCCTCGCGGGCTACTCCGCGGCCAAGGGCGGCGTCGTCGCCTTCTCCAAGAGCCTGCACCACGAGCTCGCGCGCGAGGGCGTCGCCGTCCAGGTCCAGACGCCCCTCTGGGTCACGACGAAGCTCGCGAAGATCCGCAAGGCGACGCTCACGGTGCCGTCGCCCGCGACCTACGCCAAGGCCGCCGTCGCGGCCATCGGCTACGGCGCGGAGAGCTCGCCCTTCTGGGCCCACGACCTCCAGCTCGCCGTCATGGACCTGCTCCCCACGGCCCTCGCCGTCAAGATCGCCTCCGACATGCACCACTCCATCCGCAAGCGCGGCATGAAGAAGGAGGCCGAGAAGAAGAAGTCCGGCTGAGGCGCTCGGTGTTAACGGGGCGCGCGGCGGAAGAAGAAGAGGATGAGGCTGTAGCGCGCGGCGCCGGGGCGCACGGCCGTGACGGCGTGGAGGAGCGTCGAGTCGTGGAGCGTCGCGTCGCCCGCGCGCCGGGGCAGCGCGGCGACGGCGCCGCCCGCGACGACCAAAAGCCGGCCGCCGCCGCCCGGGTCGTCGTCGGAGAGCGCGACGTTGCACGTCCGCGTCGCGCCGTCCGCGTGGAACCCGAGGCCCCGCCGGCCGTCGTCGCGCGCGTAGCGCCGCACGAAGACGTCGACGGCGTCCCAACCGCCGCCGCCCGCGGCCGCCAAAAGCCGCCGCGTCGCCGCGGCGCCCGCGAGGGCCTCGAGCTCCGCGAGCGCGAGGTTCCGCTGGTTGTCGGCGCCGCCGTCGACCGTGTCGCGGCGCCGCTCGCGCCGCTCGTCGACGGCGCGCCGCAGCGCCGCGCACGCGGCGGCGCCGAGCGCGCCGCGGACCGTTTCGACGGCGCCCTTGGCGGCGGCGTGCGCGGCCGCGGCCGCGCGCGCGTCCTCGTCGAGGCGGAGCGCGCGGAGCACCCCGGCGACGGGCAGGGACGCCGGGTCCGCGCCGCCGTCGAGCACGGGCGCGAGCGCCGCGGGCGTCTCGAGCGGCGCGGCCGCGTCGACGACGACGAGCGCGCCCGCGGCCTCGGACGCGGCGACGGACGCGGCGACGGCGCGCGCGGCGCGCCGCCCGACGGCCGCGAGCGACGCCGCGGCGACGGCGCAGGGGTCCCGCTCGTCGTCCTCGAACGAGGACGTCGACTCGGCGCCGGCCGCGCGTCCCGCGCTCTCCGCGGCGGCCTCGGCGAGCGCCGCGAGCTTCGTCCAGGCCTTCAGCTCGTCGGCGAACGCGAGGCGCGCGCGGCCCGTCGCCGCGGCGTCGATGGCGCGCCGCGCGTTGCCGACGGCCCCGAGGTCGCAGGTCTCCGACGCCGGGTAGCCGGGCCACGCGGGCCCGGCGGCGACGCGTGGAACGCCGCGGCCTCGCGGCAGGGCGCGCCGAGCGCGCGGGAGCAGGCCGCCGCGGGGAGCGCGAGGACGTCGCGCGGGTTGCCGGCGACGGCGACGCCGAAGGCCAGCAGCAGGTCGTCGTTGGGCGCCGCGCGGAAGACGCGGCGGAGCGTCCGCGCCGCGCGCCGCGCCGCCGCGGCCCGCGCGGACCGCGCCGTCGTCCGCGACCTCGAGGAGCCGTCGCCGCCGACCGCGGGGCCGCAGGCGCCGACGAGCGGCTCGGCCTCGAGGCCGTAAATGCCGCCGGCGGCGACCGCGCGGCGCCGGCAGTAGGCCAGCGCCCCGAGGGCTCGCGCGTCGCCGGTGTTTTCGGCCCACGCAGCCGCCGCGGCGCGCAGCGCGGCGCCGCGCGCGGCGACGGGCGGGCACGCGGCGAAGCCGCGCAGGAGCGGGTCGTCGGACGGCGGCGGGCGCCACGCCGGCCCCTGAAACGCGAGCCACCGCTCCGCGAGCGCGAACTGCCAGCCGGCGGCGGCGTCGACGGCGACGGCGAAGCGCACGACGCCGAGCGCCGACCACGGCTCGAGGTCGCGCCGCGCGACGACGCGCGAGCCGACGACGCGCAGCGCGAGCGACAAGGCGTTTGCCGCAGCTTTGTTGCCTGGCGCTGCGAGCGACAAGGGCTGTGCCGCGGCTTTGTCGTTGACGCCTGGCGCTGCGAGCGACAAGGTGTGTGCGCGCGAGTCGTCGACGCCTGGCGCTGCGAGCGACAAGGTGTGTGCGGAGGCTTTGTCGTCGACGCCTGGCGCTGCGAGCGTCTGCGCAAAGGTCGTCATCACTTGCAGTCTATCAGCGCTTCGTTTCCCGTGCGCTGGCCATGCTGTCACCGTGGGAGCAGAATAATCCCTCAAACATGCGGGCCATATATATATGCATTTTGCCACTTCATCATCTCTTCATCTCCACTTCACAAATCCAATCGCCAGCGCATCGATCTCTAGCTAGCCATCTTGCTCGGCCGCAATCCTTCGCGCCTCCGCAGCCTCGACACATCCGTCGCAGCCATGGCCCGCAGCCTCCTCGTACTCCTCCTCGCGGCCTGCGCGACGGCGTTCCAGGCGCCCGCGCGGTCGACGAGCCGCGCGCTGCGCGTCGACGCCGTCGGCAAGAAGGCGCCGGCGGCGCCGCCGGCCAAGGACAAGAAGGACATGAGCGCCTGGGACGTCTACACCGAGGGCGAGTACGGCCAGGCCTTCAAGTTCCCCTGGGAGGTCGAGGCGCGACACCGGCGCCGCGCGCCGATGTCGTCCGCGCCGCCGCTCGCTTCGCGCGTGCCGCCGCGCACCGCGAGGCGTACCCGCGCGCGCCTCGCAGGCGAGCGACAAGACGGCCATCGGCCACGTGCTGCCCATCGCCATCACCGTGGGCATCCTCGGCTACGCGCGCTTCACGCAGGGCGTCTAGGGCCGTAAGCGTGTTAGCGGGCCGACGGCGGCGCGTAGTCCTTGAAGTGGAGGAGGTCGTCGCCGCCGGTCTTGGCGAGCGTCGCGGCCTTGGCGGCCTCGAAGGTCGGCGCGAGGAACTCCGCGGCGGCGTCGCGGATCTTCGGCGTCGACGCGTCCTCCTTGGCCTTGGAGTCGGAGGCCCAGGCGCCCTGGAGGCCCCGCTTGTCCCGGGCCTTGGAGTAGATGCCGCCCGCGGCGGCCATGCGCGACAGATCGACGGGCGCGAGGTCCACGCCGAAGTGCTTCGGGAGCACGTAGCCCATGACGCCGCCGGGCAGCGCCTCGTAGTTGACGAGCAGCCCGACGTCGCTCGCCGCGTCCGCGTCGAGCGCCGCCGACGTGAGCATCCCTAAATGCGCCGCGCAGTACGACTCCTTCGCCGCCTTGCGCGCCTCGTTGGCGGTCATGTGCAATAGATCCAGCGTCGCCTGGCGCGGCTGGCGCTGCTCCCGGAGGCAGGGGCCGGAGCCCGTGCCGCCCTTGAAGTGCGACATCATCGTCTGCACCTGGGCGGGAAAGGGTGGTTCAACGTCGATTCAACGTGGGTGTTCCGCGCGCGCGCGTTCCGGGAAAAGCATTCACGCTTCGAGACTCTTCCGAGAGATGATCGCCCGTCCAAAAATCAGCCGAAACGAGTGGAAAATGGCCGAGATCGGAGCCTTTGAAGTTGGGAATTTCGCACCCGTTTCCTGCCCTGGTCTGCACGGGGTCGCGGTAGATGAAGATCCAGGGCGTCTTCGGGAACGCGTCGAGGAGCACCTTCATGTTCGGCACGGTGATGGACTGGAACTTGAAGAAGAGGTGCGTGTGGAACGTCGACGCGCCCATGAGCCCCACCAGTTTCCGCAGCAGGTCGCGCTGCCGCTGCTTCCCGCACGACCGGCAGTGGTTCAGCACCACGGGCGGCGGCGAACTCTCCGAGTAGACGAGGTTCGTCGGCACGCTCGCGAGCATGTTCGCGACGAGCGTCGAACCCACGCGGCTCTCGTGGAAGACGAAGCCCGCCGGTGTGAGCGGCGTCACGCCCTTGCTCTTCAGGTCGTCGTAGAGCTCCCCCAGCCGCCCGCTCTTGCCCTTGCCGCACTTGGACGCCGTCTGCAGGTCCCGGAACATGGGCGTCTTCGACGGCTGGCGCCAGTAGCCGTCGAACTTGAGCTTGCACAGCGTCACGCGCGGATCGCCGTGCTCGACGCCGCTGATGTCCGTCGGCGCCCAGAAGCTCGGCACGCAGGGCGGCTCGGCGCAGTCCTTTTGCGGCTTGTCCTTCTTCGCCTTCTTCTCCGCGCCCCGCAGCGCGACGGTGTTGGTCTTGGACGGCGGCGGCGCGGCGCCGGCGGGCGCGGGGTCCGACGCCGTGTGGCTCGCGCCCAGGGACGTGGCCAGCAGGAAGAGCGTGCCGCCGGCGGCGGCGACGACGAAGAGGCGCAGCAGGCCGTTGAGCGTCACGCCGCCGCGCTGGCGCACCTTGGAGCCCATGGCGCGCGCGCGGATGCCGCCGAGCTGCGCTCCACAGCACTCGAGGCGATTCGCCGCGGTCTCGCCGCGCGCGCCGCGAAGCACGCGTACGGCGTCCGCAGGCGTCGGCGGACGCCCTCTGAGGCCCGTTTTACGGCGCGACCCTCTCAGCGGTTCTTGGCCTTCTTCTTCTTCTTCTTGCTCTTCTTCGCCTTGGCGGCGCCGCCCGCGGCCGCGCGCGGCGCGCGCGGCGCCGCGTCGACGGCGATCGTCGGCGGCGGCGGCGGCGCGGCCGCGCGCGCGGCGCGCTCGCTGCTGAGCGCCGCGAAGCGCTGCTTCAGGTCGTCGACGCTCCGCGCGTCGACGTCGAGGAGCGAGTCGAGGAACGCGTCGACGTCGAAGTCGCGCAAATCGTCGAGCGCCTCCCCGACGCCCACCAGTTTCACGGGGATGCCGAGGTCCTCGACGACGGACACGACGAACCCCGCGCGCGCCGTCCCGTCGAGCTTCGTCACGGCGAGGCCGCTGACGCCCACGTCGGCCTGCCAGGCCCGGGCCATGTCGACCGCGTTCCGCCCGACGGCCGCGTCCACTACCAGCAGCGTGTCGTGGGGCGCGCCGGGCGCGCGCTTGTCGATGGTGCGCCGGATCTTCTTGAGCTCCTCGTTGAGCGCCGCGTTGTTGCTTAGGCGGCCCGACGTGTCGACGATGAGCACGTCGTAGGGGCCCGCGGGGGCATCAACATCATCATCCGCGAGGTCCGAGTGGCGGAACGATTCGTCCACCGCCGCGACCCCGAGCGCCACGTCCAGCGCCTTGTAGCAGGCCGCCGACGGGCTCTCGACGCCCGCGTCGGGGACGACGATGTCCACGGCGGCCCGCTTCGCCCACTCGTCGAGCTGCCCGACGGCCGCGGCGCGGAACGTGTCGCACGCCGCCAGCAGCACGCGCTGCCCGCCCTCGACTCTCAGACGCCTGGCGAGCTTGCCGATGGTCGTCGTCTTGCCCATGCCGTTGGCGCCGATGACGAGGATCACCGTCGGCCCCGCGGGCGCCTTCCGGAGCGCGCCGTCGCCGGCCTTCGTGAGCGTCTCGGCCATCCTCCCTCGCAGGATGGCGGTCACATCGGCCTCGGCGTACTCGCCCCGCGCCTCGGCGACGGCCCGCACGTCCTCTAAGATCGTCGTCGTCGTCGCGGCGCCGATGTCCGCGGAGAGGAGCGCGTCTTCCAAGGCGTCGACGGTGTCGTCGAGATTCGCGCCCGCGGCGCCGCCGAAGATGGCTTTCAGGTCCTTACCGAACTGGTCGCGGCTCTTCTCGAGGCCCGCCGTGAACTTGGCGAGGGCCAGCGCGTCGTCCTTGGCCTTCTGTTCCAAGAAGCTGCCGAAGTCGTCGCTCGCCTTTTGGAAGAAGTCGAAGACCATGCCGCAGCGCGTGCGCTCCGGCGCGCGGGCGACTCGTCTCACGAGTTCGCGCCGCGGCGGCACGAGGGCGCCGGCGAGAGCCGCCAGGGCCCAGAGGGCCGCCAGCGCTCGCCTTGACGTTGCCCAGTCCACCATCGTCACTCGGCGCTCCGCCACAGCTCGCCGCCGGCGCCGACAGCCGCCTCGCCCGCGCTGCCGCCGCGCCGCCACTGCTCGCCGCCGACAGCCGCCCGCCGCGCGCCGCCCGCGCCGCCGCCGCGAGATGGATCGCGCCCGCGGCGCCGCCCGCCTGCCGCCCGAGGTGAACCGCGTGCTCTACGTGCGCAACCTGCCCTTCAAGACCGAGGAGATGCTCTCGACGGAGGAGATCTACGACATCTTCGGCAAGCGCGTGTCCCGCGCCCTCGCGCGGCGCCGCGCGCGCCCCGGATGCTCCGCGCGACCCGCTTCCGCCGCAGGTACGGCGCGATCCGCCAGATCCGCATCGGCAACCGGCCCGACACAAGGGGCACCGCGTTCGTCGTCTACGAGGACATCCACGACGCGAAGAACGCCGTGGACCACCTCAGCGGCTTCAACGTCTGCGGCCGCTACCTCATCGTGCTCTACTACCAGGCCGCGCGCATGGCCAAGCGCACGGAGAGCCTCGAGCAGAAGCGCGCGGAGCTCGAGGCCCTCAAGCGACGAGCCGCCGCGTAGGCTGCCGTAACATGCTTACGCGACGACTCAGCCCGCGCGGTGGGCCATGACCATGGGCTGGGGCGCGGCGATGTTGAGGTGCGCGAGGATCAGGTCCATCTTCTGGTGGAGGAACGCGACCTCCTGCTTCATGACCTCCTGCTCCTTGATCTGCGCGACGTTGCCCCGGCCGATCTTCCGCGCCTGGAGCTCGCGCTCGAGCTCGTCGACGAGGTCCTTGTTGCCCCCGCACGCCGCGCCCGGCGCGAGGCCCTTGGGGTCCGACGCCGGAAGTCCGTCGACGCTGATGAACCAGGTCCCGCAGCAGTCGTTGGCCTTGCTCACCTCCCCGAGCTGCGCGTAGGGCCGCTTCTGCGTCTGCTTCTCGCCGCAGAAGTTCGTCGTTACGACGACCATCTCTTCCGCTTCCAAATCCAGGGTCATCGTCACGCAGATGTTGGGGCCGCAGCACCCGCAACAGTCGGGTTCGATGTGCGGGTAGACCTTGTGTTCGAACTGGACCGCGGTTCCGGCGTCGGGCGTCGCATCCATGACCTTGGAGCTCATCCCTGGCACCTGACCACGAGCAGTGTCCAAAACAAGGCAGAATGCTTATAAAACAGCGTAACGTGAAGACGTCAAGTTGAAGGCACGATGAAGTGGGTGCCGCGACCGGTAGGTCGGCAGCCCCGATGTCGCGCCTCGACGCGCAGCTCTGGCGCGACCGCATGGCGGACCTCGTCGAGCGGCGCGAGGCCCTCCGCGGCGACCTCGTGCGCCTCGGCGAGGCCCTGGGCGGCGCGTCGCCGAAGCGCGCGGCCAAGGCGCGGCCCGAGGCCCACCGCCTGCTCAAGGAGCTGCGCGACGCCTGCTGCGGCGTCTGCGAGGCCTGCGCCGAGTGGCGCCGGGCGGGCGGCCACGACGACCCCTGCCCGGCGCCGTCGGGCGGCGACTACCTCGCGCGCATGGCCTTCGATCTCGACTTCGTCGCCGCGTCTCCGAAGCTCGTCGCGGCCATCGGCACGCCGCGCGAGCTCCTGCGGAACAACCCGCTCATGCTGCCGCGCACGCTCGAGGCCGCCGAGGTCGGCGCGGCGGGCGACGGCCCGCCGGCGAACGACGAGCAGCGGCGCCTGCGGCGCGCGGAGGCCGCGCTCGTCGCCGCGGCGCGGCGGAGCCGCGTCGTCGAAGAAGAGGAGGAAGAAGAGGAGGACGAGGAAGACGACGCCGCCGCCGCGAGCGCCTTCGACGGCGACGCCGCGAGCGCCTTCGGGTCGCCGCCGAAGCCCGCGGCGCCGCCCCGGAGCCTCGACGCGTCGAACTGGATGGAAGCCGCGCAGAAGCAGCTGGACGACCTCAAGCAGAACAAAACGCCGGCGGCGGGCTTCGGCGACCGCGACGACTCCCCGCGGGCCTACGGCGGCGACCCGCGCCTCGTGCGCGGCCGCGACGAGGCGCCGAAGAAGCCGCCGCCGCGCAAGCCCGCGAAGCAGCCCGCGCCGCCGCGGCGCGCGCCGGACAAGCCCCGGAAGCCCCGGGGCAAGGCGCCGGCGCCGTCGCAGCAGCGCCGGGCCCTCGAGCGGCTCCAGCAGCCCCGGGGCCCCCTCCTGCCGCCCCTCGCCGGCGGCGACGACGACGGCGTCATCGGCTTCAACAAGCACGCGTCGCCCAAGGGCAGGCCGCGGCGGGGCCGACGGCAGAAGGCGATGGCGTCGACGACGGGCGCGGCCTTCGATTTGTGCGCCGACGATCTGGCGACCATCGCCGAATTGGACGAGGCGCCGAGCGACGCGGCGCTCCGCGTCGGCGCCTGCGCGCTGACGCTCATGGCGCGGGGCGAGGCGTGCCCCGGCGACGTCGGCTGGCGCGCCGTCGCGTCGACGTTCGAAGACGCCGAGGGCTCCCTGGACGCGATCCGCGCCGTCGACGCGTCGTCGGACGTGCCGCCCTTCAAGGCGCGGGCTCTGGCGCGGCTCCTCGAGGTCGGCGACGCGGGCGACCTCGGGGCCGGCGCCGCGGGCGACGCGCTCGCGCGGCTCGCCGCGTGGTGCGCCGCGGCGGTCCGCGCGGCGGCCGCGGCCGCGGCGCGCGGCGCCGAGGGCCTCGCGCCGTCGCCGCGGGCGAAGCTCAAGGCCGGCCGGAAGGCGCGGCGCGCGGCGCCCGCCGACGACGCGGCGCCGAAGCGGCGGAGGCCGCGGAAGGTCGCGCAGTCGCGCAGCGACGAGGGCCTCCGGGGGCCGAAATCCTCCGACTTCCTCGCGGGCAAGGTGTTGCGGAGCTCCTGGTGGCACTTCGAGGACGCGACGCCGGCCGTGCTCGTGTCCGTCATCGCGCCCCGGGACACGAAGGGCGCCTTGCTGGTGAAGGCGTACGAGCCGACGCGGAGCCTGGAGTGTTTGCTCGTTTTGGACGAGGCGCAGGTGAACGCGCTCCGGGGCCGCGCGCCCGTCGGGGCCTTCGTCCAGGGCGACCTGCTCGCGAAGCTGGAGCTGCGCCACGGGAAGACGCTCCGGGTCCGCGCGGGCCCGGCCGCGGGGCGGCCCGCGGCCGCGCCGGGCGGCGCCGCGGCGCCGCGCGCGCCACCCCGGCGCCCGCCGAAGCCCATCTCCGCGCCCGAGGCCGCGCCGGAGCAGCCCCACCGGCGCCCGCCGCCGCGGACTCGGTCGTCGCCGGACCTGCTCGAGGAGCGCGACGCCGCGACGCTCGAGTCGCTGTCGCCGCACAAGTCGCGCGCGGAGCCGCGCGAGGAGCCGTCGCCGCTGCGCACGCTCGACGCCGACGTCGTCGCCGCGCCCCTCTCGAACGACGTCGAGGACGTTTTGGGCACGCCCCGCGCGGAGGGCGCCGAGCCCGCGGCCGAGGTCGACGACGACCGGAGCGCCGCGCCCTCGGCGGCGACGCGGCCGCGCGCGCCGCCGCCGCGGACGCCGTGCGCCGCTGCGCGCTCCGCTGGCTCCAGCGCCGCCGCTGCCGCGTGGGCACGCCGAGCCTCGAGACCGTGCGCGCGCTCCTCGGCCGCGCGGAGACGAAGCGGGCGCTCGCGGCGCTCGGGTGGACGCCGCTGCACCGCGCGCTGGCCATGCTGCAGGAGCCCGACCGCGGCAAGACGGAGGTCCTCGCGACGCGGCTCGAGGCGCTCTTCGCCGCGGCGGCGACGGAGGAGACGCGCGCGCCGTCGAAGGAGGACGCGCGCGTGCCGTCGCCGTCGTCGGTGCTGGACCCGGCGCGGCGCGACGGCGCGGCCGCGACGGCGCTCCAGGCGCGGCTCCGCGGCGCGGCGGCCGCGCGGCGCCACGGCGCCGCGCGCGCGTCCGCGGCGAAGCTCCAGGGCTTCGGCCGCGGCCTGGCGGCGCGCGCGGAGCGGGACCGCCGGGACCGCGCGGCGGCGGCGCTCCAGGGCTCGGAGCGCGCGCGCGTCGCGCGCGCGGAGCTCGACCGGCGGTGGCTGGAGCGGGAGCGCGGCCGCGCCGCGGTCCTGGTCCAGGCCCACGGCCGCCGCCGCACGGCCGCCGCCGCCGTCGCCGCGCGCCGCGCGGAGGAGGCGCGAGCCGCGGCGGAGGCCAAGGCGGCGGCGGAGGCGCGGGCGGCCGAGGAGGCGCGCGTCGCGGCGGAGGCGAAAGCGGCCGAGGAGGCGCGAGCGGCCGAGGAGGCGCGCGTCGCGGCGGAGGCCAAGGCGGCCGCCGAAGCTCGAGCGGCCGCCGAGGCGCGCGTCGCGGCGGAGGCGAAAGCGGCCGCCGAGGCGAAAGCGGCTGCCGAGGCCAATGCCGCCGCGGAAGCCAAGGCCGCCGCGGAAGCCAAGGCCGCCGCGGAAGCTCGAGCGGCCGCGGAGGCCGAGGCCGCCGAGGCCAAGGCCGAGGAGGCGCGCGTGCTCCGCGCGGCGCAGCTCGCCGAGGAGGACCGCCGGCGGCGCGCGGCGGGCGCCGCGTCGCCCGCGGCCTCGCCGGGCGCCCTCGAGGCGAGCGACGAGTACTCGTTCGACGACTTCGACGACCCCGGGGACACGTCCGCGGAGCAGTCGCCGGCCAAGGCGGCGGCCGAGGACGAGCGGCGGCGGCAGGAGGAGGACGCGAAGCGCCAGGAGGAGCAGCGGCACCACGCCATGGCCGAGGAAAAGAAGCGGCAGGAGGCCTTCGAGGAGGCGCAGAAGCAGCGAGCCGCCGCCGCCGCCGAGGCCGAGCGCGTCGAGGCCGCGCGCCTCGAAGCCGCCGAGAAGCAGCGGCAGCGCGACATCGCCGAGGAGAAGAAGCGGCAGGAGGCCTTCGAGGAGACGCAGCGGGCCCTCGCCGCGCGCCTCGAGGCCGAGCGCGTCGAAGCCGACCGCCTCGAGGCCGAGCGCGCCGAAGCCGCGCGCCGCGAGGCCGAGCGCGTCGAAGCCGCGCGCGTCGAAGCCGCGCGCGCCGAGGCCGAGCGCGCCGAAGCCGCGCGCGCCGAGGCCGCGCGCGCCGAAGCCGAGCAGCTCGAGCTCGCCGAGGAAGCGCGACGGCAGCGGGACGTCCTCGAGTACAAGGACACGGTCATCGCGTCGCCGCTCAAGCCCGACCTCGAGGCGAGCGCGTCCCACGACGAGTACGACGACGACGACTTCGACGACTTCGAGGACGAGGACTGAGCCCGCCGCCGATCCCGTAAGCGACGCCGATCAGATTATACGAGGGGGGGGGGGGGGGGGCACAGCGCGGGCTTGCGAGCGCGACGCTTCACGCGGAGGAGGACGCCTTGTAGCTTCCCGTGCTCATGAGCTTCTTCTGGAGCACGGGCGTGAGGTACTCCGCGAGCTTGAGCGCGTCGACGGCGACGCCGATGTCCGCGACGCCCTCCGGGAAGGTGCCGGCGAGGGCCGCGGCGGCGCAGCGCTCCTTGAGGTCCTTGTACTCGTCCTCCTGGGTGATGAGGTAGCCGATCCAGTCCGGGTGCTCGGCCTGGCGCGCGGCGACGCGCGCCGCGCGGTCCGCGTCGACCATCTCGGCCTCGAAGACGACCTCGGAGCCGTCGGCGACGGACGCGAAGCAGCCGTCGCCGCCGCAGCGGTCCGCGACGATGCGCAGCTTGCCGCCGGCCTTGTTCGTGAGCGTGAAGTCGATTTTGGCGAAATCCGTGTAGGCGCCGATCGTCCGGCAGTCGCAGTTGCCCGCGTCGACGGCGACGTCCGCGATGGAGTCGGCGGTCATGCCGAAGAAGGTCGCGGCGAGGGCGAGCTCGTGGATGGCCATGTTCTTGAGCATGCCCTCGGCGTTGCGCTCGAAGCACTCGCCGAGCGACTCCTCCGTGTAGTCGTTGAGCGACGTTAGCGTGACGAGGCTCCCCGGGTGCCTGTGTGGAATTCAAATCTTCAACTCGACTTCAATGTGAGCGTACGCGACCGTTTCGACAAAATCTCTTCGGCCGTGCTTCGAGAACTCGACGAGAGCAATCGATTCGTCCAAAAATCAGCCGAATCGACTTCGATTTGACCGAGCTAGAGAATTCTCAAGTTTGGTCAGGACCACCCAAACCAGTGGTTGAATTCCACACAGGCGGGTGCTTCCCGTAGGCGTCTAAGGCCTGCGTGAAGTAGGGCGCGATGTTCTTGATGAAGCCCATGAAGACGGGCACGTCGGCCTCCTCGGCCGTCGCCGCCATGGACTCGAGCTCGCCGACCGTCGGCGCGCCGGGCTTCTCGAGGAGGATGTGCGTCGCGCCCGAGTCGAGCGCCTGCTGGAAGAAGCCCGGGTTGTCCACCGTGCGGCCGGCGATCAGGGCCAGCTTCGGCTCGCCGGGCGCCGCGCCGCTCCAGGTGGATTTCGACAGGCCCGCCTGGAAGGCGACGTCCGGCGACCAGCTGTCGACGCACTCCGCCGCGAAGACCTTGCCCGCGTCGCTGTCCTTGCCCCCGCCGAGGAACCAGGGCTCGACGATGTCGCTGAGCTTGCCGCTCGGGCACTCGCCCTCGACGAGCTGGAGGCCGTGGAACCAGCCCATGCCCCGGCTCGGGAGGCCGCACCCGACGATCGCGTAGTTCGTCTTCGCGCCCTCGGGCGCCGCCACCGCCGCGCGCGACGGCTTGAAGAGGTTCCGGACGGATCGCAGGGGGTTCAGGGCCGAGGCCGAGGCCGCGAGGGCCAATATCAGCGTGGGAGTCGCCATGGTGTGCATGATCGCCGAGAAAAGCGGTGTGTAGACCTGCCGGGCGCGCGCGCTCGCGGTGCGGCGTTCTGTGTGCAGCGGGTCGCGGAGCGCGTCGCGCGTCGCGCGGCTGCGGATGCGCGTCGCGCGCGGCGCGCGCACGCACCTTTGCAACTCGACTGGCAAGATGGCTTGCAAAGGATGCCTCGCTCGGAAATCGAGCTTCGCGTCGGCACCTAGGGGTGCACTATGGCCGCGCGGCGAGGCCTAGGCCTGCGGCGGCGCCCAGTCCGATGGCATCGACGAGGAGTCCGTGCCGATCGCACAGAACTTACACAGCCCCCTCCCGACTCGCCCACTCGAACCCCCGCGCCGCCTTCGCCCGGTGTTTGGCGAAGCGCGGCGGCTCGTCGATCGCGCAGTCGACGGTCGTCGCGTCCGTCGGGTGCGCGACGGCGACCCTCCGGCAGTAGAGGTAGAGGCCGATGCGCCGCCGCGCGGCGGTATGGTAGAGGTCGTCCCCGAGGATCGGCGCGCCGAGCTGCTCCGCGCAGTGGCGCCGCAGCTGGTGCCGCCGGCCCGTGGCGGGGAACAAAGAAACGTCCGTCGCGGCGCCGTCGACGGCCTGTGTGGAAATCAAATCTTCAACCCGACTTCAATGTGCGCGTAATTGAACTGATTGCGCCGTACTCTTCGGCTGTGCTTCGAGAACTCGATGAGAGCAATCGATTCGTCCAAAAATCAGCCGAATCGACTTCGATTTGACCGGGATAGAGAGTTCTGAAGTTTGGTGGGGACCCCCCAAACCAGTGGTTGATTTCCACACAGTCGACGGCGCAGCGCGTCTCGCCGAGGACCTCGACGCGCGTCGTCGCGGGCCTGCCGTCGAGCGGCGCGTCGACGACGCCCGCGCGCACGCCGCCGCCGACGAGCAGCGCGCGGTACTCCTTGGCGACGCGGCCGCGCTCGAACTCGCGGCCCAGGAACGCGTGCGCGGATCGCGTCTTGCTCACGACCACGGGCCCGGCGACGCGCGCGTCGAGGCGGTGGCGCGGGAGCGGCGCCGGCAGAGCGTCGCCCGACGCCGACGGCTCCAGAAAGAGCGGCAGCACGTCGTCGAGACAGAGCTGTCGCGCCTTCAGGCTGCCCTTCCACGACATGGAGTGGACGCCCGCGGGCTTCAGCACGACGGCCATGGCGTCGTCCTCGTAGAGCACGCGCAGCGGCGGCGCGTGGCGGCCGGGGTCCGCCAGCGCCGCCGCGAGGTTCGCGCGCTTCTCCAGCCACCGGTCGCCGCCGGCGTCCGGCACGGCCGTCCGCCGCTCCGCGGCGGCCGCGAGCGTCAGCACGTCGCCCGGCGCGACGACGCGCGCGCCCGACGCCTCGGCGCCGTTGACGCGGAGCCGGCCCCGGCGGCAGGCCACGTTCGCGGCGTTGCTCGTCGCGAGCTCGTCGGCGAACGCGAAAGCGCCGAAGTGGCTCAGCCGCGCCGCGCGCGCGTCCGCGGGCGCGACCGCCACGGTGAACGTCGCGTCCGCGACGGGCCGCGCCCAGGCGCCGAAGCGCGCGCGCGCCGCCGCCTCGCTCCAGCGATGGTCCGGCGCGAGGGCCGCGGCCGCGGCGAGGAGGAGGGCGAGGGGCATCGCTGCCATTTTTTTTTACTTCTGCGGCGAACGCTTCGACGCCGCGCTAACGCTCGTGCGATCGCTGCAGCGCGGTCGCGTGGCTTGCAGCGGCGCGCGCTTCGAATGCTCTTAGCTCGTGCATTGCAGCCGCAAAACTCATGTCCATCGGCCGCACAAGAAGGTCAACATCAATGAGCAGTTCAACCAAAGCCGGAAGGTTGCCATCCGGGGAAACTCTCTCACGACCCGGGAGCGGCGCATGCGAGTCGGATGTGCCGGCGGAAGAGCCGAAGCTGCGTCCGGCAAACGCGCGCCGCCGCGGACGACCTTCAGGACGCACGCGCGCGGACGACGCGGGCAGGGCGTAGACAGCGCCGACGGGCAAACACCCCCCAACACACCCGAAAGGAAAGGTCGCCCCGGCGCCGCTATGGTCAAATGGGGAGTTAAAGCCGCCGCCGCGCGACCGCGACCCGGCGGCCCGCGCGGCCTACTCGGGCGTATCGCCGTCGAGCTGCGACGTCGACAGGCCGAGCGCTTTTCGGACGGGCGGGATGACGATGGGCATCCTGCGGGGAAAGCGGCGGTGTCGCGGGGGTTCGGTTCGGTCGCCGCGGCCCCGATTCGCGCGCCGGCCGCCGCGGACGGTCCGCGCGCGCGCGCGCCACGCGACACCCCCCGCGCCCGCCCGCGCGCCGCGTACGAGCGCGCGGCGCAGCATATAACAAACGACGCCGGCGGCGCGCGCGCAGCCGACGCCGCCGAGGAGGCAGGAGAAGAAGACGATGGGCTCGCGGTCCATCAACCGGACGACCCAGACGCGCCCCTGCGTCGCCGTGAAGAACTGGCACGTCATGAGCGCCGAACTGAGGGCGATGAGCGCGTGGCCCCCGATGGAGCCCGTCATCGTCTCGGCGCGCGGGGGCGGCGCAGCTCGTCGACAGCGTCGCTTGCCCTGGATTGTTGAACGGCACCACCGGCTCGAGAGAACAAGCACCGCGCGCGCCGCGCGCGGCCCGGAGCCCTAGGAGACCGATATGCACAGCCTGCGCGTCTGGCTCGGGCTACGCCGCGGCGGGGCGATGCGCTCGGAGGCGTGTCCACGTAGTCGCGCTTGTCAGAGCGCCGCCCTTCGCGGCCGCCGGCGCGGCGCGCACCGAGGCTCCGGCCGGGGCCGCTAAGGCGCTCAAGCGCGTCGGGGTCGCGCAAGGCGCCTTCTTCATCGAAGTACTCGGTGGGGTCCTGCGTTACTATAGTTGACACTGCATCACCATCGCTAATCGAGCGAAGCACATGGTGCCAAGCTAGTTCGCGCGGCCCGGGCGGCGCTGGCTGCACAAGCAGCACTACAAAGACGACCCGGACGCGCCGGCGAGCTGGCGAACGTGCGTCCCAGCGTCCCAGCCAACCCCGTGTTTCCAGCCCAGCGTCCCAGCCAACCCCGTGTTTCCAGCTCGCACATGGTGCCACTGGCAAGCTAGTTCGCGCGGCGGCGCTGGCTGCACAAGCAGCACTACAAAGACGACCCGGACGCGCCGAACATGTTCGAGTTCACAACAGAGATGCGGACCAAGAGCTGGCGCGAAAAGTCGGAGAACAGCGAGGACGCCGTCAGGTGGCGCTTCAACCTCCCGTTCTGGCTGGCGGCGGTCTTCTGGTCACATTCCTAACTCAAGCTCTACGCCGCTCGGCCGCCGAGCTGCATCCTCGCCAGCGCCGAGGCGCCGGCATCCATCCCGAAGTAGTCGCTCGGACGTCGCGCGCGCCGCCGAGACGCCGAGGTTTGCAGCGAAGACGGCAACACTGCGCGAGCGACGCCGATTTGCCAGAGGCGCCACCTCGCCTCCGCACAAGAAACACTCGTCTCGCGTGCGACGCACGCCCGCACTGCGCGGCACACCATGGACCGGGGCATGCTGGCGCGCGCGACGTCGAGCGACGAGTCGCCGACGCCGGGCTACATGTACGGGGAGATCGCGAAGATGACGCTGGCGTCGTTCGACGCCTGCAAGCAGATCGAGGACTACCTCCTCAAGCGCTGCGGGAACAAGAACGCCAACGTGAAGAACAAGGCGCTGCTCATCATCAAGCACGTGGCGTCCTCGGGCCGGCCCGAGTTCCGCCGCAACCTCCTGCGGCAGTGTGTGTGCTGTGTCCGCACAGAAACCGTTTCCACACACGCGCGCGCGCGCCCCCCCCCCCCCTCCCCTAGGCTCGGCGTGCTCAAGGACTGCCTCTCCTTCACGGGCCCGCCCGACGCCCTGCGGGGCGACGAGCCCTACCGCAAGGTCCGCGAGTCCGCCAAGGAGGCGCTCGAGGCCGTGACGACGGACCCGGGCAACGGCCCGGCCGGCGGCGGCGCGGCCTTCGGCGACCGCATCTCGGGCTACGGCGGCGACGGCGGCGGCGGCATGTACACGGGCGGCTCCGGCGGCGGCTACAACGGCGGCGGGGGCAACGGCGGCTACGACGGCGGCGGCGGCGGCTACAACGGCGGCGGCGGCGGCGGCTACGACGGCGGCGGCGGCGGGGGCGGGGGCGGCTTCGCCGGCGGGGGCAACCGCTACGAGGGCTACGGCAACACGCCCGTCGAGCCCGAGCCGACGACGATGATGGGCAAGCTCGCCAAGGCCGCCGCGTCCGCGAAGGACCGCGCGGCGGCGGCCGTCGCGTCCCAACCGGCGGGCTACGCGGGCGGCAGCGAGCGGTCCATGGGCGCCAACGCGGCGGCCTTCGGGTCGCACCGGGCCATGGGCGGCGTCGGGAACCCGAACTTTGGGGACGCGCGCCTCGAGAAGGCGAGCTGGACGGAGCGCGCGGCCGCCGGCGCGCGCCGCGCGTCGAACGCGGCGCGGAACCTGCGCTTCAACGGCGCCATGAAGGAGGACCTGAGCTCCCAGTACGCGTCGAACCGGGGCGCCAACGCCTGGGCCAACGGCCAGCGCGGCGGCGGAGGCGGACAAGGCGGGCCCGGGCGGCTACGACGTCCGCGACGTGCAGGCGAACGTGGGCATGGGCGGCGACGTCACGGACCCGACGCCGTCCAACGCCGGCGGCTACGCCCAGCGGCCCGAGGCGCCGGCGCCGTCCTTCGCCGCGCGGAACCGCGGCGCCGTCGGCGGCGGCTGGGGCGCCGCCGCCGCGCCGGCCGCGCGGGCCGCGCAGCGAGACCCCGCGG